TCCAGATGATACATAGAAAATGTGCTTGCCATATCCGTTGCATATGGTAAAGAGAATGTATTTCTCTTTCTTGTCAACAGAAGTTTCGCTATGGAAACCATGTTGACGAATATCTCTATAGCTTAGTAGGGTACGAGTTAAACTTGGGAAGCAATGAAGCATCCTGACGTTACTGTACCCACAGGGATAGTAAATATGACTCGAGTTGAGCCAACAAATACCTCATCGCATCTAGCGATTTTAAAATATCTCCTTTCTCTCAATGAGAGTGGAAATATTGGACTTCCCCGAGTATAGAGTTTGTGGTGCATATGCCCACAAGGCACATATCATTTTTCATCGGATTGACTCCCGTAGAAATCTATATATAGACATTAAGATTCTCAAGAAAATCACTGTCGGATATATATAGAATACATACAAATGAATTTGTATCAAAATGCTGATACAATATATTGTGATATACAATATATGATGACAACAATATTTATGTTGTTGTTACAACATCATAAATAGACATTAATTATATTGACCACTCAGGAGATTGGAAGACTATTCATAATCTCCAAACATGTCGGTTGAAGCATATTCAACCATCACATTCTCCGTGCCTATAGGGCCCCGTCATAGCTAGTGATGTCGGATTGAAGGTTGAAGTAAAATTCAAACCTTTGCCCTTGAGGTTCATTGTATCCCAGGAATTGCTGATACAGAATAACCAGATGTTGTGATCTGGTCTAATGCCTTATGATTATAAGACATCATTTTTCTATTAGCGGTGTCATCCTGACCAGAGGTGAATCCAGGATTGCACATATTATCCCACGAGACACAAGAGCGGTCATGATGTCCATGGCCCATATAGGGCAGTGGTGGCCATTGAGGGTGAATGCCTCAAACTCTATAGCCATATGTTACCTCTATGGGTAAACCAGAGATAATTAATTTACAACCAGTAAATTAAAGACCATCATGGTTGATGTTGTAATGAACTTAGCAAAATCAATGGGTATTTCAAGAAGTTATCTTGAAACCATTAGTGTGAATCTCAAATAGCTAAATATGACATCTTGAAGATAATCTCCAAAATGGAGTAGATCTCACAGCACTAGAGAGTATAATCTGATGGAATCAGTAGATACACACTCGTAATGCCTTATGCCATGACTTAGTAAAATGTATAGGAGAGCACTTTGTAAAGCAATTATAATGTCAAAATGACAAAATATAGGCTTTAACAGTAGTCATTGACAATCTGCGGAGGCAATAGATCTAAATGACTACCTTGTGATCCCAATACATCAATTTGAAGAAATCACTTTGAATTTTGCATTCTTATTTGCAAGAAATTAAAAAATCTCAATTGCAAATAGACGTATTAATCTCAACATGTAGCAAACATGGAGATACATACATTCCAGAATACATCGTACTCAACAGAAATACACCACTATTATAATGAATAGCAATGATGTTGCAAACTTGATGTTCAAGTGAAAAACTTGAATTGTACAAATCTCAAATTAAATGAGATAATCCTGTATCAAGTTGCAAGATAATTCAGCTGGATGAATTAATATTTTGTGAGAGAAAAATAATCTCAATCGCTATGAGATTGTTTTGCGAGAAAGATTATATTTCTTAATTGCAAATCAATATTGTTGTGCGAGAAAATTTAATCTCAATCGCGAAAAACATGTTCTAGAGAATGTGGTAAACACATTGAACATGTCAAATATAAATATAGATATATTTCTGGAATTTTAAACTCAACAGAAAATACAGTAGTACTGTTGATAAGACAGAGAGAGAGAAAAAATCAATGAAATCCAGCCCAGAGAAGGCGGCCGGAGGTCACGCCAGGCGCCTGGGCCTGGGCCTCCACGGCCTTTGGCCAGCCCACCCGCCGCCACACCGCATAAGAGAGAGAGTAGGCGACGGTTACGGATAAGGGTCGGAGACCCGAAGCCCGCACCACCCCGCTCGATCCCCACATCCTACACGACGCCGCCGGCGGTTGGAGGGCGGCGGCCACGGGCACGGCCGGGCGGCCTTGGCGCGTGCAAGAGGGCGCGTGGCCGGGCGGAGGCCGGGCCGCAGGGCTCGACGCAGCGGCCGGGATCGGGGCGCGGCGCAGCGCGGGTTGGAGGGCGGAGAGGCCGTGGCCAGGGCCGCAGCGCGGCCGGGCGGACGAGCGCGGGGCGGGGAGTCCGTGGCCAGGGGCACATCGCGGCCGGGCGGACGAGCGCGGGGCGCGGAGGCTGTGTCCTGGGGCGCAGCGGCCTGGCGGACGAGTCCGCGCCGCGTCGCGGTTGGGGGCCGTCCTCGCGGGCGCCAAGGCCGAAGGACGCCGCTGCGTTCGCGCCAGACGGCGTCGCCTCGCCATGGAGGTTCGATCCAACGGCTTGGTTGCAGGCTGGGTGGTCCGGAAGACAACTGCGCTTTCCGGTTCATACGTCGGGCTGGCTACCGGCAAGCGACGACAAAGGCTGTCCCTTACAGGGGAAAAAGGTAAATCGATTTAAGAAATCAGCGTGTACCTTTTCCTTTTTCTCCCCAATCCGTTCGTTGGTGGATCTTGATTTGCACTCTTGGCGTGATTGGAGACAATGAATTCGGTTTCAACCTCCAATATTTTGATCAATGGATGCCATCTCCCATGTTCTTCATTCATTTTCTGTTCTTTGTGGCCTTGTTTCTCCTGCAGGAATTCATGGCCACAGCGCGCTGCAGGAACGCCGGTCCTGAGGGCCGCACCGACGAACTCGCGAGCGAGCGATGCTGTAGGCGGAATCGTCGCGCAGATGGAATCGCTCCACCGGGAGCGTGCGCGGGCGGTCACCGGGCTCTGTGTCGCCTGATGGACTCTTTCTTTCTCAGTGGAGAAGACTATGTGCTGATAACGTGTTGAATTGTAAACGAGAGCAACGAGAGACAATCGAACAAAATGATTGAACTATCCTCTTTGCATTAGATGAAGTGCTATATATAGCACTGGAGCAGGCGTTTACAAGGGGGCGTCGGTTCAAACGGAACCGACGGGATTGCAGAAAGCAACCGCCGTTACAAGCGGGGATTAATCCCTTAATTATTATGTAAATTAATCTTAACAAAAACATCTTTTCTGTACGCACATAAAAATCTAGATCTATTAAACATAGGCGGCTGATAGGCGCCGGTCGACCGGCCCAAATTCGGCCGGTCCCCGCGCAGCCACACGATTAGCGCATCCTTGACCGCCCGATTAGCGAGCTATCCCCACGCGCATCCCCTCCTTCCTCGTGTCAGATCCAGCACATGTTTTGATCGGCACCCTGACCCCCTTGCCCTGCTCGCCGGCAAACCGTCGCCGCCCCCCCAGCTCGCAGGCATAGCACGCCGTGGCCGCACGACGGCTCGCAGGTGCAGCTCGCCGTGGCCGCTCACCCCGCTGGACAGTTGCAGCAAGATCTTTGCTTTCACCGGTTCCAGCAAAATCAAAAGCTATTTCCAGCAAAAAACACAAAGATTGAAGCAAAAGTCACGGTTCCAGCAAAATCGCCGCCCAGCATATCTCGCCGGTTGAAGCAAATCGCCTAGCCGGTTCCAGCAAAATCAAATGCTATTTCCAGCAAAACACCAAAAGATTGCAGCAAAAAATCACGCGGTCACCAAAGATTCCAGCACCATCTCGCGGGTTGAAACAAAAACAGCTGGTTGATTCCAGCAAAATCAATGTTGTTTCCAGCAAAAGAACACAAAAAATGTACCAAAAAACTCACGCCCTTGTTCTTCCACCCATGGCAGCATTCCAGCCAACGGGCGTCGCCTCATAGCTTCGCTGGATTGTGGTTGCAGCTCCACCAGTCTATGGATCCAGCTCTGACAGAACACGGTTGCAGCATCCAGCCAGCAGGGGCATCACCTTGCAGCTCCACCGGGCGATGGGTCCAGCACAGCCGGACAGTGCTTCCAGCTTTTTTGGCTGCGGTTGTAGCAACCCTCCTCTCCAGCATGTAGGAGCCTCACAGCTCGCCAGATCATGATTCCAGCTTTCCCCGGGCACGGTTGCAGCCGCGGCGAACTGCGGTTGCAGCACCATCGTGCCCATCACCATCGGCGGCCGCATCGCTTTGCATTCGTCGGACATGGCGTCGCTCGCGCTCACCATGAGCCGTCGTCCAGTGCCTATGCAACGGCACCGCCGTCATCTGCTCACGGCGCACGCCCTGTCGTCGCCCTACAACGTCTCGCCCTCCTCTTGCCATGGATAAAAAGCTCGTCGGAAGGAGCACATCAGCACGGTGGTGGGGGATCGGGATGAGCAGAAAGAGGAAATTGGGAGGAGGAAGGGAGAGAGGAGGAAGAGATAAGGTGGCGATAGATTGTGTGTGGGTCCCGCAATGCATGTGACCTCTTTCCTGTCGTTTGTGTCACGAGCAGACTGTGTGGTAGTTTCCTGAGCGAGCGAGGCGTGACCGGCCCAAGCTTCGGCCGGTCCACCGATCATAAACGTTTCCCATTAAACATATCACAGCAATTCTTTTGCTTTTCGCAGGCGCTTCAATTTCCTTTCTTTCAGTTTATACGTTAGATGGGCTAGAAATTTAAGAAATATGTGCAATTTACAACTGTGCAATTCAAAGAATTTCCCAAGCTCTGTACTCAATGAGGTATGAGAGGAAAAAACCTGACTAATGAGCACATAACGATGAATCTGGAATATTACAACACCTTAGTCAAAGTTTAAAATATCTTACAAAAGCATTAACGTAATCCTCATATGCTCACGGTTAGCTTATTATGCATACGCCCTCCGTCCTAAAATACTTGTCATCAAAATGGATCAAAAGAGATGTATCTAAAACTAAAATACGTCTAAATACATCTCTTTTATCCATTTCGATGACAAGTATTTCCGGACGGAGGGAGTATGTTTTATTAGCAAGAAGGACAACATCCAAGTCCTAGTATGCAACCGTTGGCAGAAGCACAGCTTAGTAGCAGTAATGATAGCACCACTAGATGTAAGTAGGGTATCGGTATGGAGGGTTGGTGGTCGCTTCCAGCTCGACCCATTCAGGATTGGTGGTGATGGTTTCCACATCAACTCCCTTTGGTAAATGAACATACAGTCTGCCATGAACCACCTTATAATCAGCGAAGACTCGCTTGAGAAGTTTGTCACCATCACCTAGAATAAATTCACCTGGTTTGTCGCCAAACTCCTCATCAATCTTTTTAAGAATAGGATCATGACAGCAACAGAGCTTCCTTAGCTTCCCATCCGCGAATTTGTTTATTCCCAATTTGTAGGGCAGATTAGCATTGTTCCGACGGTGGACAAGCAGGACAGTCTCCTTGAATGTGTTGAACCAGTGAACCATCTCATCATGATCACGCTTTTGGTTGAAATCTTTGCACCAGCGCTCATACAAGGCCCAAAGGGCTGCTTCTGACTCAAGGTCTTTCTCCTCTACCACAAACTTCACCTTACCTTCCTGCCTTTGTTCTATAAGCAAAAAATGTAATCTTCTGTCATATTGCAATTAAATTCACAGGGTCTGATGTAAAATTAAAGCTGTCGGTAAAACACCAATGATATGTCATGTACAAAATAAAAAAGGCAGTCTTTGTAAGGAAAGATAGAGTCCTAAGTATCGCTGGGGATTACAGAAAGAATAAAAGGGAACATTCAGGCTGCAGCCCACAGCTTAGAACACAAAGGATCAAGCAAGCATAACAGAAGAAAAGGTGCCAGACAACCAGCAAAAGGATATCGAGCATCCAAAAGAATCAGCCAGTTTATCTTCATATATTTCCATGCAACTGGTACAAAGCAAGATCTAATGTCCAATTGTAATTTAAGACAGAGTCCTGGTGCACTAGTAAAACTTAGCAGAACACCCGTCATGCGTTAGTCTTATTCACCCACATACGCCGTATGCAACAAATTTATCAGAATGCGTTCAACTGCACAAACACAGTTATGTTTAATAAAATAATGGATTCTCGCATGCTAAAAAACGTAAAATATTCCGGACTTGACGGACAATGAAAGAAAAAAAACCTAAAGACGGGCAGTCCCATCCCCACTTCCTCCTTCCTATGACGCCTAAGGGTGCCAAGCCATGATCCTGTTCTAGCAGCTACATGGCCTTGTTCGGTTAAGGGGATTGGAGAGGATTGAACGAGATTTAGAGGGTTCTTAACTTGTAGGGGATTTAATCCCTCCAAATCCACCTCAATCCCCTTCAAATCCACCTCAACCGAACAAGGACTGAAGAGGGGGGCACTGGATTTACCTTCTGGGTGACTGAGTGTCAGGGAGGCAGGTGCCATGGCGCGTGGAGGAGCATGGACAGTGGATTGGTTCATACGCAGATCTACGGAGGCGGCACGATCTGAACCTAAGATAGCGTGAGGTTTGGTCGCCACCGCCTTCGTGGAGAGGGTCGCTGCTTCAACGAATTGGGCGAAGCGAGATGTGGTCGCCGCAGCTGAGCGAGCGGCACGGCCGATCCGCACGAGTCGGGAAGCTGCTGAAGGCATGGTGAAAGATAACGAGGAAGGACCTGGATCTGGATGGTGGCGACCAGTGTCGGCGTTCTCTTTCTATAAGACGAGTCTGGTTAGGGTTTCGGAGTTCGACAACATAGGAAGCGTCTGGAGCAAGGCCGGTGTAAGGATAATGGGCACATTTCTTGGGAAGGGGCCGCGAGGACCAAGCCCAAGAAATTGGCCACTTGGACCGCGGATGTCGCATTCTGTGAGGAATTCACGAGGGCGTCAGGAGCACTGTAGTCCACAGTTTTTCTATAGTTTTGTTTGTTTCTTTTCTATTTCGTTTTTCTTTGTCTGTTTCACGATTTTTCAACGGTTTTCTTCACTTTTCATTTTTATTCCACTGACTTCGGTCTTTTATTTTCCTTTTTCTTTGGTTTCACCAGTTTTCTTCTGTTTTTTCCTTATTTTTTTCTTTCATTTACTTACTTTTTCTAAACAAATAAATATATATATATATGTATATATATATATATATATTTTTAAAATATTTGAAAGTTTTTTCGTACACACCAGGAAGTTTTATGTACATTTAATAATTTTAAAATACATGATTAACATTGTTTAAATATTGTTCTTTAGGAGTTCAAATATATGTTTTGACATCTACTTTTTTAATACATATTATACATTTTTTGTATATCTAAAAAATACAATACATGATTAAAAAATTGAATACTTATTTTCAACATTTTTCTAATAAGTAATAATTTTCTAAAAAAACATTGAAATAATTTTGTGTATGGTACAGAACAATTTTTAAACTATGTGAACATTTTTATACATTGGATTTTTCAAAATGTTTGCTGGAAATGCATGAAGATTTTTCCACATGTAACATGCATCTTTTTAATGTTACGGAATATATATTTAATTACACGGTTTTTTTACTCTGTATACCATTTTCTTTTTAGAATTGCCACGTACATTTTGAAACGTATGAACATTCTTTTAAGTTGAGCGAACATTTTTTGACATTGTATTTGCAATTTTTGAAATGTGCACACTTAAAAAAATAACTACTTTAGTTTTTCATGATATATGTATTACTCCCTCCATTTCATAATTCTAGTCGTGATTTTAGTTCAAATTTGAAGAAAAAGATGACAAGAATTATGGAACAGAGGGAATAGTATTTTTCAAAATATAAACAAAGGTAAAAAGGAAAAGCACGCATTAAATCAGTGGGACTTAGCATGTGGTTACTGGGCCGGCCCATTGTCGCACACGCTTCAAGCGAGACCTTGTTTGGTCCCGCAATAAGCCATACATACTCGCTCCCCTTCAAAATGTTACTCTCATCTCTTCTGGTGAGTTTTGAATGTTGATTCTCATTTTTCGTTAGGTTTCTTTTTGTGGTTTTTTGGAGTTTTCTTAACACCTGTTGGGTTAAACTATGGTCAACATGTGCAATTTGGGGGATGTGGAGGGGTACGTAGGATCAGTATGTTTAGCGATTTTTGGTGGGTGGTCTGCACGTGTCGTTGACTGGATCGTTGGTCGATGATTCGAGAAATGAACATTCTTATCTCTATCCCACATCTCAAGATTTTTCCTTAGATGTCTCTCTCTTTCCAGAAGACTCATGTCACCACCGCTTCATCGCCTTACGCTCCTACTCTCTTCATTCGGAATTACTTGTCTCGAAAATGGATGTATCTAGAACTAAAATACATCTAGATACATCCATTTCTACGACAAGTAATTCCGAATGGAGGGAGTATAAATTAACCCCATTCCTCGTCGAGGCCCCCAACAACAACTACGCTCATCCTCCTTGTTGAATATCTAATTGCATATATTACTTGTGCGTCAAGCCCACCTCATATTCCATGTATAGTTGAGGACGTGGCTACCCTTGTACATCATATATACGTGCCTATGCACCCGATCAATACATTGTGAGTTATGTTGCCAAACTACATGGTATCAGATAGGTTCCAATCCTAGACCTAACTTCCTCCCTTGTGGCATTGCAGGTCCTTGCCGCTATCGCGCCTTCCTTGTCGTAGGTCCTTGCCGCCGCCGCAGGTCCTTATCGTCGACGCTTAACTCGAACTAACCTATCACCCCGCCGCGTTGTTGCCACTTCACCAAAGCCACGCGCGCTGCCCTTCTTTTTCGTTCGCTCGCCTCGATCTCTCCAAGAATCAAAGCCCTGATATGTCTCCGTCGTATATACTTTTCCAAACACTTTTGCTCTTGTTTTGGACTCTAATTTGCATGATTTGAATGAAACTAACGCGGACAGACGCGGTTTTCAACAGAACTATCATGATGTTGTTTTTGTGCAGAAATAAAAGTTCTCGGAATTCGATGAAACTTTTTGGAGTTTTTTATGGAATAAATAAAAAATACTGGAGCGAAGACCCACAAGAGGGGAACCGCCAGTGGCCCACAAGCCACCAGGGTGCGGCCACCCCCTAGGCGCGCCCTGGTGCCTTGTGGGGCCCACGTAGCTCCGCTGATCCTAACCTCAAGCCTATAAATTCAAATTTTGAAGAAAAAAAATAAGAGAAGAAGTTTCATCGCGTTTTACTATATGGAGCCGCCGCCACCTCTTGTTCTTCATCGGGAGGCTAGATCTAGAGTCCGTTCGGGGCTCCGAAGAGGGGGGGATTCGTCGCCATCATCATCACCAACCCTTCTTCATCACCAAGTTCATGATGCTCACCATCGGGTGTGAGTAATTTCTCCGTGGGGTTGCTGGACGGTGATGGGTTGGATGAGATTTATCATGTAATCGGGTTAGTTTTGCTAGGGCTTGATCTCTAGTATCTGTTGGGTTTCGTAGTAATTTCAAAAAAATTTCCTACGCGCACACAGGATCATGTGATGCATAGCAACGAGAGGAGAGTGTTGTCTACGTACCCAACGCAGACCGACTGCGGAAGCGATGACACGACGTAGAGGAAGTAGTCGTACGTCTTCACGATCCAACCGATCAAGCACCGAAACTACGGCACCTCCGAGTTCAAGCACACGTTCAGCTCGATGACGATCCCCGGACTCCGATCCAGCAAAGTGTCGGGGAAGAGTTTCGTCAGCACGACGGCGTGGTGACGATCTTGATGAACTACAGCAGCAGGGCTTCGCCTAAACTCCGCTACAGTATTATCGAGGAATATGGTGGCAGGGGGCACCGCACACGGCTAAGAAATCGATCACGTGGATCAACTTGTGTCAACTTGTGTGTTTAGAGGTGCCCCTGCCTCCGTATATAAAGGAGGAGAGGAGGGGAGGCTGGCCGGCCAAGGGGGGAGGCGCAGGAGAGTCCTACTCCCACTGGGAGTAGGATTCCCCTCCAATCCTAGTCCAACTAGGATTCCTCGGAGGGGAAAAGAGGAGGAGGGGGCCGGCCACCTCTCCTAGTCCTAATAGGACTAGGGGAAGGGGGGGCGCGCAGCCCATCTAGGGCAGCCCCTTCTCTTTTCCACTAAGGCCCACTATGGCCCAAATAGCTCCCGGGGGGTTCCGGTAACCCTCCCGGTATTCCGGTAAAATCCCGATTTCACCCGGAACACTTCCGATATCCAAATATAGGCTTCCAATATATCAATCTTTACGTCTCGACCATTTCGAGACTCCTCGTCATGTCCGTGATCACATCCGGGACTCCGAACAACCTTCGGTACATCAAAATGCATAAACTCATAATATAACTGTCATCGTAACCTTAAGCGTGCGGACCCTACGGGTTCGAGAACAATGTAGACATGACCGAGACACGTCTCTGGTCAATAACCAATAGCGGGACCTGGATGCCCATATTGGCTCCTACATATTCTACGAAGATCTTTATCGGTCAGACCGCATAACAACATACGTTGTTCCCTTTGTCATCGGTATGTTACTTGCCCGAGATTCGATCGTCGGTATCCAATACCTAGTTCAGTCTCGTTACCGGCAAGTCTCTTTACTCGTTCCGTAATACATCATCTCACAACTAACATATTAGTTGTAATGCTTGCAAGGCTTATGTGATGTGTATTACCGAGAGGGCCCAGAGATACCTCTCCGACAATCGGAGTGACAAATCCTAATCTCGAAATACGCCAACCCAACATCGACCATTGGAGACACCTGTAGTACTCCTTTATAATCACCCATTTACGTTGTGACGTTTGGTAGTACCCAAAGTGTTCCTCCGGTAAATGGGAGTTGCATAATCTCATAGTCATAGGAACATGTATAAGTCATGAAGAAAGCAATAGCAACATACTAAACGATCGGGTGCTAAGCTAATGGAATGGGTCATGTCAATCAGATCATTCTACTAATGATGTGACCTCGTTAATCAAATAACAACTCATTGTTTATGGTTAGGAAACATAACCATCTTTGATTAACGAGCTAGTCAAGTAGAGGCATACTAGTGACACTCTGTTTGTCTATGTATTCACACATGTATTATGTTTCCGGTTAATACAATTCTAGCATGAATAATAAACATTTATCATGATATAAGGAAATAAATAATAACTTTATTATTGCCTCTAGGGCATATTTCCTTCAGTCTCCCACTTGCACTAGAGTCAATAATCTAGATTACACTGTAATGAATCTAACACCCATGGAGCTTTGGTGCTGATCATGTTTTGCTCGTGGAAGAGGCTTAGTCAACGGGTCTGCAACATTCAGATCCGTATGTATCTTGCAAATCTCTATGTCTCCCACCTAGACTAGATCCCGGATGGAGTTGAAGCGTCTCTTGATGTGTTTGGTCCTTTTGTGAAATCTGGATTCCTTTGCCAAGGCAATTGCACCAGTATTGTCACAAAAGATTTTCATTGGACCCGATGCACTAGGTATGACACCTAGATCGGATATGAACTCCTTCATCCAGACTCCTTCATTTGCTGCTTCCGAAGCAGCTATGTATTCCGCTTCACATGTAGATCCCGCTACGACGCTTTGTTTAGAACTGCACCAACTGACAGCTCCACCGTTTAATGTAAACACGTATCCGGTTTGCGATTTAGAATCGT